ACTGGACACAAAGGCCTCCACCTCTGTTTAATGATGGACGGTCTTTCATCACAAAAAATGGCTTCCTTTACGCCTCTCTCAAACCAACGTTCCTCTTTATCAAGGATGAGAGCATCTTCATCCCATACTTTTACAGTTGCTGCTAAAAAAGTGTGGAACAGTTTACCTCGTTATATTCAGTTTACCGAGACTGTAGAGGCTTTTAAATCTTTGCTGAACACCCGTTTTTGCTCTTTGGCTTTTGACTGTGGCAGAGGCTTGGGTTCAATTATAGCTAATAGTTTTTGTTTATAGTGTGTGTTTTTGTATTAYTTTTGTACTTTTTTTAATGACGTGCTTGACTGAACTGTGAAGCATTTTTATCAAATKTTGTTGTTTTTAATGTGCTGTATAAATAAATTGATGCCTCTTTTCTTTGTTGTGTGCAGAAGAGATTCCCAGTGACGAAGATGAGGTGAACGAGAGCCAAAATCCCATTCAACAGCAGCCTACTGTGACAGCCTGTCAAGGAGGAGATGATGAAGAGGACGAGGATGATGACTATTGGGATGAAGATGGTTTTGAAGGAACACCTCTTGAGGAATACAGTACACCTCTGGACTATGACAACGGAGAAGACGAGTATCAGTTCTTTACCTCCGCCCTGCTCAGTGAGTTTTACTCAGCAGACTCAAATATTCATAGAAACAGAAGCAAAAACAGACTAAATTCAACTTTCTTCTTTTTTTCCACAAGATAATTAAATGAGCACTAGCACATCACATATCTACAGATATCATCTACTGATGTAGTTAATGAGGCAACAGTGGAGTTGTTGGGGTCATGCACTGATTCTTTGTCAGATGCTGACTGGTCCCCTGGTAAACTTTGTGGGTCCCAGCAGTCCAATGGAAAAAAAAGAAGGAAAAACATTTATTGCCATTAGACAAATATTGGGCATAGCAAGCATAACAATGTGGAATTTCCTGGATAAGAAAGAAACTAAATGGTAAATGGACTGTACTTGTATAGCACCTATCTATCCAACCAGGATACTCAAAGTGCTTCACACTACAATCTGTGCCCTCATTTACCCATTCACACAGCACTCTACTAAATCTCTACAAAGCTAACATGTACAAATCGTCTATGGAGACTAATCAGTGCTAATCACATTCGTACACTGATGGGACACACATCAGATGCATTGGGGGTGAAGTGTCTTGCCCAAGGACACAACAACTGCAATGGGAGATCAAATCGGCAACGTACCAGTTCCAGGACGACTCCCCTAACCACTCAGCCACAGCTGCCCCCACTAAACTACAGTTACTAGTATTGTTTATGACCTTAGTACTTTTATTATTATTATTTTCTGCCAACATGAGTTTTTTTTATCATGTTCTAGTGGACTGAGCATTATGAAACTTGCATAAATATAGGCAGGCACAAACATTCAGATGTGGGCATGGCAAATTGGCTCTATAGCACCCCCTGAACATCAGCCCCACTTATGACTTAAACATACATGTGAAATTTGGTACATCGGTCCAGTACTGATAAAAATGTCTCTTGGCACCATATTCTAAAGCTTACAGGAATTCAATCATTTTGAGAAATGACAAATTTAGGTGTTTTTCACTTGTCACACCAAATGCTATTTCATCCTCAAATTAGAGGGTATCAACTTCAAATTTGGACCAAAGCTTCTTGACAAGATGGTGCACACCAGTTATCAAYAACTTTTTCAAAACTTGAACGGTGTGGTTGTGGGATTTTTCTGAATACACCCATTTCTACTTGAATGTGTTTGTGAGGGTAATGTCACTGTAAATTGTTCAAACTGCAAAAATGTACGATAGGTATTCAGTCCTGAATATGACCATATGTAAATGTTGTGAATCGACCACTGCGCCACCTAGTGGCAATGTAAAAATACCTTATTGTATTTGAAAAAAAATCTCCCACTCAAATCTTTCATCCTTAGACCGTTTTAAAAACCTTAGACCCAAAGCTCAACCGTTTTAAAAACCAAGAAAATATTCATCATTAGCTACCCCAAAGGGCATGGTCAGGGCACCTTGGCGACATTGAACGTGTCCCCCAAAAGTGCATAACTCTCATTTTAACTATGTTGCAATGGTCTGAGCTTCTCAAAACTTGGTACATATTTACAGCTTGTGTAAATATAGGCAGGCACAAAGATCCAGATATRCTGGTTGCAAATTGGCTCTCTAACGCCCTCTAAACATCAGCCCCTCTTATGACTGAAACATACATATGTGAAATTTGTTATAAAGGTACATCAGTCCAATACTGACAAAAAAGTCTCTTTGCAACATATTCTAAATCCTACAGGAAATCGGCCATTTTAAAAAAATGACAAGTTTTAGCGATTCTCACATCACGCCAAATGCTATTTCGTCCTCAAATTTGAGCGTACCAACTTCAAATCCAGACCAAAGCTTCTTGATGAGATGATGCACAAAAGTTRTCAATAACTTTTCCAAAACTTGAATGGTATGGGCGTGGGATTTTCCTGATATGCCCATTTTTACTTGAACATGTTGTTGGGCCAAAGACCCCTATGATGAGAGCTACAGATGGACTTGGATTTCCCTTGCCCTCGGACACGGGTCACCGGGTCCCAGTCTGGAGCCAGGCCTGGAGGTGGGGCATGTTGGCGAGCACCTGGTGGCCGGGCTTTCACCCATGGAGCCCGGCTGGGCACTGCTCGAAGAGGACACATGGGTCCCCCTTCCCATGAGCTCACCATCTGTGGGAGGGGCCGTAGGGGTCGGGTGCATTATGTGTTGGGCAGTGGTCGAGGGAGACGACCCTGGCGATCTGATCCTCGGCTACAGAAGTTGGCTCTAGGGATGTGGAATGTCACCTCTCTGGTGGGGAAGGTGTCTGAGCTGGTGTGTGAGGTTGAGAGGTTCCGACTAGATATAGTAGGATTCACCTTGACGCACCGCTCTGGCTCTGGAACCAGTCTCATCAAGAGGTTTGGACACTCTTCCACTCTGGAGTTGCCCATGCTGAGAGGCGCCGAGCAGGAGTGGGCATACTTATTGTCCCCCATCTTGGTGCCTGTACTGGGGTTTACCCTGGTGAACAAGAGGGTAGGCTCCCTCCGCCTACGTGTGGGGGGATGGGTCCTGACTGTTGCTTGTGCAAATGCCCCTATCAACAGTTCAGATTACCCACCCTTTTTGGAATCCTTGGAKGGTGTGCTGGAGAGCGCTYTTGATGTGGACTCCCTCGTATTTCTGGGGGACTTCAACGCTCACATGGGCAATGACAGTGAGACCTGGAGGGGTGTGGTTGGGAGGAACCCCCCACCCCCGATCTGCAAGAAGAAAAGCAAGGAGTTTGTTCTCCTTTGATTCCTTTGGAGCAGCTTTGGCTGAGTGGTTAGGGGAGTCGTCCTGGAAGCGGTAGGCTGCTGGTTTGATCCCCCATTCTAGCGGTCTCAGTTGTTGTGTCCTTGGGCGAGACACTTCACCCCTAATGCCTCTGATGTGTGTCCCATCAGTGATTTAAAGCACTGATTAGTCTCTATAGATGATTTGTACGTTAGCTTTGGAGAGCCCTAATAGAGTGCTGTATGAACGGGTAAGTGAGGACACAGACAGACAGACAGACAGACAGACAGACAGACAGACAGACAGACAGACAGACAGACAGACAGACAGACAGACAGACAGAC